AGGCTGTGTTGTCGGCAACAGGTGATGTTCTTCAAATGTTCTTAATTGAAACTGAACCACTTAAGCCCTCTGTTAGAAAGCCCGACACTGTACCCTATCCAAAGATCTTCAATGACATGACTTCATTTTTTCGCTTAACTTGAACGTGGATTCTGACCAACTGGAAAACTACCGAGACAACGGTTGCAGCAGCAGCACTGCAGCGACAGTGGACGAGGGCTTCTAGGTTGGGGACATCAACTTGTCGACTGTCCTGGCAAAAAAAGCAAGAGCATACACGACTCCATAGCTCCGTCGGGTTCCTTGTTCCCCTCGCAATCCTGGGTCTAGCTGGTGGTATCCGCTTCTACGCCAGATCGAGCTAAAGTTCGAAGAAACTAAATGATGTCGAACTTCAAATTGAAGGCACTGGAAATGAGCTCAAAATCTGGTTTCTTTTGGTAATCCTACGGGTCCTGATAACTGAGTTGGTGATGCTACAAATGTTGAGGTTAGTGCAAGTTTGTGCTCTATCTCATTCAAGTGACACAATTCTATCTTTGTATCTAACCATCTCTTGGAAAAGATAAAGGCATTATATAATTATTTCTTTGAAAAGATAAGCTTAAAATACATGGGATAAGTCAATTGAAAGTCCTAAAACTTGTCATGAAATTACAATCGAATCTTAAAACTTTCAAAAGGTGTAATTAAATCCTAAAACTTGTCACGGAGTGCATTGAGTTCTAAAAATTTCAAAAGTGCAATTGAGCCCTATAACTTATCAAATTAGTATAATAAAGTCCTTATGTTAATTGCACTTTTGAAAAATTTTAATACTTGATTGCACTTTCTCGATTGACTTTCATGGCAAGTCTTAAGACTCGATTACACTTTTTAAAAGTTTTAGGACTCAATTGTACTTTCATGATAAATTTTAGGCTTTCAGTGCACTTATCCCAAAATAATCTATTGATAAAGTATGGAGGAATTTCAAAATACTATAATGTATAAAGCAAGCTTAAGAAATAACCTTGTTGTGTTTGGTTGGAAGGAATAACCTTCCCCCCCCACCCAAATCTTGTATGGTTGCAAAGTTTGTGGTGAAGCACTAGGAAGAGGAGGATTCATGATTTCAACCCTTTTTTTGGGCACTAAAGATGAATTATAAAATTAATTAATCAATAACAACAAAAGATATTGAGTACGATATAAATTAGCATTTTGTTTAAATTTGAACAATCTAATTATTAGTTATTTATGATTGATTGCACGGAGTATAAGATTGGGAATTAATTTATAGTTAGGAATAAGTTACAATTTTTTCTGAGTTACCGAATTAGTTATGAAGAGTAATAAATTGATCACGAACGGATACCTAGTTAAATATATAATGGATGTTACATTGACAATTATTTGGTTAAATCGAATATCGTAAAATTATTGATTCTATTGCTCTTTTTTTGGAGTTATAAAATAATTTAATGAAACAGAATTATTAATCTTTTACTTTCGCTTCTTTTATAGAATGATGTTGGGTGAATTATTTTATAGCTCAATTATATTAATATCTTCTATAATAAAACTATAATATCGTGTTCATACCAAAAAATATAATATTGTGAAAGTATGCAAGTATAGACCAAATCTCGTGTTAGATATATAGGCGGCGTCATTTCATTCGGATCCGCAACATATCTTACAAATAAAAAAAAATGATGATTCTATTTCATTCTCACAATTTACCAAACTTAAGAGAATGAATTCCTTATTCAATTCCAATTATTTCATCTCATTCCATTTGATTTTTTATACTATAACGAAACATTATATTTGGCGATAAAAAACATGAATATGAGGTTTTCTTTTAATCTAATACGCTTCAAACAATTATTGAGTGATTATTTGATCTGTTGACTTTAATTTGTTGGTCAAAATAACATTGGAAAATGAAAAGTGAAAATGAGCTGGTAATGCGAAGCATGGAATAGAGTGCATGACCTAACTAAACCTCATTCCTTTCAATACTTAAGAAGCGATTGTTTCATTGAAAACTTCATGGGATAGGAAAATATTTTCCACGAAAATTAATTTTTAAGAAAAATGGTTAGTTTTAATTTTTTTGGTGGTCTGAGGAAAATGAATTCCTTCTTGCCCAAAGGTGAAGTCGTTTTCCCCCACTCTACGTTTATTGTTTTCAGTCCATGGAAAATGTTTCATATATACCGATTAATTTTCCGTCATCCAAACACTAAAAAGTCAGAAAATAATTTTCTAAAAACAATTTTCTTTCAAATAAACGGATCTAGATGAAAGACAAGTGCAATACCCATTATAGGCTAAACATGTTGTAATGACTTTACTAGAGGTCATTTGTTTCTATAACCTGAGTTTGTTGTCACCAATTTAAGTGTACACGTTCCTTTTATGTTTTCCTTGCATCATATTTGGGAGTAGAGATTCTATGATGGAAGGATGGGAAAAAAGGGCAAGCTTATGAAAAAATCTAGAAGAATGAATAGAAAAGGAAAGAAAGAATAAGGGCCCGTTTGACAACTTGCCAAACAGTAAAAATTTCTGTTATTTTATTCCCAGAATTAGTTTTGAAACAGAATCCGTTTGGTAAACTTTTTGTTCCCGGCCACAAATTTGCAAAAAATTATTCCCAAAATCAGTTTGGAACAGAATCAAGAAGCAAAAAAAAATGTAATTTCTTGATTCTGGGAACAAGAATCATAATTGGAAAAGAATTTTTTTTTTCTTTTTCTTCTTTCCCGTTCTTTCTGATCTTCTTCTTCTTCATTTTTTTTGCCTAGCCGGCCATCGGCGACTGATGAGGGTCGGCAAAGGCGTCGCGGCCCTCGCCGGCCTTTTTCCAGCCCTCGCTCGAGCTAGCGAGGGCAGTAGCGAAAATCCAGCCCTCACCTAGGCCACGAGCCTCGAGAGCAGCCCTCGCTGGCTCGGGCAAGGGTTGGAAAAGGCCGGTGAGGGCGACCTTTGCCCAGGCTGCGAGGGTCCAGCCCTCGCCGGATCCGGCGAGGGCCGCGACGCCCTTGCCGGCCCTGGCCTGTGGCCGGTTGCCGGCCATGGCCAAGAGGGAGGAGAAGAAAAAAGAAAAGAGAAAGAAAGAAAGAAAGAAAAAAATATTAAAATATTCAAAAATATTATTAATAAAAAGAAATTTTGTGTCGTTAACAAACACATTTTTGTTCTTTTTCTATTCCAAGAATGGAAATTTTGGGCTGTTACCAAATGCCTTAAAATACTCAGAATCAGTTCCAGACACGGAATCAAACATAATCATTTTTGAGCAGAATTAGTTCTCGGACACATAATCATTGCCATGCGCACCCTAAGAAAAGAGCTACTATACCAACATACCCTACTAATGTCAACTATGCATTCAATGGACACTACCCAACGTAGTCTCCACCTGCCTACCAGTACCACCTACCATATATGGCTTCAGAAATTTTTATCAATGAACATCTTTGAGATACTTGTTCAACATGCTTAATGAGAAAATATTTATATCTTAACGTATTGATTGTGCATGATATGTAAATAGATAATACATTGAAAATCACAACATATCTTTAGAATATTTTTTTGGTCAATATCTTTAGAATATTTTAAAGAGCACATTTAACAAGGATTTGTCGATGAGTGTCCGAAGACAAGAATTAAGCAAATAAATTCATCTGGAATTTTCTTTTAATCTAATACGGTTCAAACAATTATTGAGTGGTTATTTGTTCCATTGACTTTAAGCTTGTTGGTCAAGATGAAAATATCATTGGAAAATGAAAGAGACAATGAGCTGGTAATGTGAAGCATGGAATAGAATACATGACCTAGCAATGCGATCGTTTCGCTTAAAACTTCGTATTAAAGGAAAATATTTTTCATGAAAATTATTTTTAAGGAAACTAGTTAGTTTTCATTTGTTTAGTAGATTAGGGAAAGTGAATTCCGTTTTGCCAAAAGGAAAAGTCATTTTCTCCCAATTTAAACTTGTTGTTTTTAACCCATGAAAAATGTTTTCTGTAGATCGATTAATTTTCCGCCATCCAAACAGCGAAAAGTCGAAAAATAATTTCTCACTAACAGTTTTCCTTCAAACAAACGGATCCGGACGAAAGACAAGTGCACTACCCATAATAGGCTAAACATGTCGTACTTACTTTGCCAGAGGTCATATGTTTCTATAACTTAATTTTGTTGTTACCAATTCAAGTGTACATATTCCTTTATTTTTTACCTTACGTAGTATATGGGTAATGAGATAGAGATTCTATCATGGAAAGATGGGAAAGAAGGGGAAGCCTATAAAAAAATCTAGTAGAAGAAATAGAAAAGGGAAGAAAGGCTAGAAAAGAGCAACCATGCCAACACACCTACTAATGTCAACACTGCATTCAATGGACACAAACCCAACCTGAGTCTCCACCTACCTACCCACCTACCATGTGTGGCTTCGAGTTCAATGCCCTTGCAATAGAAAGGAAACAAATCTTATCAAACAACACCTTCAATAAAATTAATGAGAAAGTATTCGATAATCAAAATATTGATTAAAATCATAATATTCCTCTGTGCTCATATAATCGTTTAACGAATATTTCAAATAGCACTTTTAACAAGGATTTTTGTCAATGAGTGTATATCTAAATAAAAACTATTTTTCTCTTGCAAGGCAGGTGTTGAAAATATGATTATTTTTTTGCTGGATATTTTACATTTTAATAGGACCCTTGTAAGAAATTTAAAGAAAGACAGAAAGTCACAACTGATGATGTAACAAATCTCTATATCTGTGTGCGCACGCAATGGAAAAAAAAAGGAAAAAATAGAACTTGATGATGCAAGACAATTAATAAGGCAAGAAATCTCTCTCTCTCTCTCTCTCTCTCTCTCTCTCTCTCTCTCTCTCTCGGAAAAAGGTCAAAATAGGACCTTTATGATGCTCGACAATTAATAAGGCAAGAAATCTCTCTCTCGACAATTAATAAGGCAAGAAATCTCTCTCTCAGGTTGCTTTGATCCAGTACTTATGTTCTTGTCATACCCATCATTGCAACAAGCACTCTTGAGTTGGTGAGAGCCCACAGTTTGATCGACCAAGTCGGTGAATTTAAGGCCTGTTGGGTTTCTCTCAGATTGACCACTCTGCTTCTGCCGCTTCTCACAGAGCCAAAAACCCACAGAAGAAGAAGGAGGTGGAGAGGAGGAAGTAGAAGAAAATCGACATGGGTGAGGCTAAAAAGGTCTTCACTTTGGCTGAAGTGTCCGAGCATAACAATTCCAAGGACTGTTGGCTCGTAATTGGTGGAAAAGTAAGCTCCTTTTTCTAGCGTTCTTCTTGCTCTGTGTTTTTAGTCAGTGTAGTTCCTTTTCACCTCTCTTTCTCAAGATGGGATTTTTCTATTTTTTTTTTCTTTCTTTTGGCTTTGTTCATGATTCGTGTGAGATTGAAGGTGTCAGCAGGCGATTGGTTGATGGGTTTGATTCCAATAGTCAGAGTTGCTTTCTGCAAAGTTTCTTCATGTTTTCCTTTATGTTGGGTTCAATTCTCTTGACCAAATTGGGCATGGAGTATAGAAAGTATTAATACATGGTTCATGTCATGAAGTTCGGTTGAAAAGTGGACAGAACAATGTAGCAGTACGTGATTCAAACTCATGTCGAGAATAATTGGAATTATGATGCTGTCTTTTAATGAATTTGCTTGTGTTTTCAATACAACCTTGTAGATCTTTCTAGGTATGTATCAAGCAGATGTAATGTATTACAGGAAACTAGTTAAACATAAGTCTGATGCTAATGATATGTTCTTTCCCTTTGTCCCCTTCCTCGATCTACCTTCAAGAGATAATCAATACCAACAATGCCGTATCAGATAGCTAAAGTTAAATGTAGGTTTTTTCCAAATTTTTTGTGGCCTTTAGGTTCTTTGATCGATTGCTTTGCCAATGTACTTTTCTGCATTTGGATTTTGCAACCCAATATAATTATTTGCTGTATCACCTCCCAAGTTTAGGCAATCTCAGTGCCCTTGATTATATCAAGGTTCATACTTGAGCACGGTTAAGGGAAAAGAACTAGTCGGTCTCCTTTGTTTGATTTTTATCTGAAATGGCATTTATGAAGTTTTTTTGTCATTGGAATTGCCTAATATAAGGATCCAGCTTTCTATGTTTAATTTCTATGGCTCAATCGAACTCTCCAAATTCTGATTACTTTGAGCCTAATTTTGCTGAATCAGACAGTTGTTTGAAAAGTACGAGGAGTTCAACTGCCCCATCCAGCAGCAATAGTTCTTTCTAGAGGCTTATTGACTTACACTCGTGTAACAAGTCCAAAATAGCTTTATGGGTCCAATTTTAATTTAAGCTTTAGCTTTGGGGTTTTCTCGGTGATATTGCTGTGAATTCTGTACATGTTGCTTGGGTTTCTGTTGAATTACAACTTTTAAGCAAAAGTAAGCCAAGCCAAAATTGCACACTGAAACCACAAAGTAACAACTAAAAGCGTGAGCTGTGTATGTCAGAAAGCTTGATCACATAAGACCTCCAATTAAGCCCATAGTTGATAGACAACAATTTCAGTGCTTGATTCTTTTTGAGGGAAATAAGAAAAAAATAGTTGTTATGTCTAAAATAGGGGACTTTGGTTTACATGTACGTGGGTGTCAACATTTTGACTTTGTCCTTGGTCATGTTGCTGTGCTAAAGACACACTTTTAGCATATTAGATAGGCATATTATTTTGACTAAGCGAAAAAAAAAGAAAGAAAAGGTTTTTCATTGGTATAGCATAGGATTTCAGGGGTTTGATGTAACTGACTTCAGTTAGCATGAAGTGCTTAGTAATTTTATTCTTGTGGCGTACCATGATGATTCCTTTGATAATCTCTGTTAGACCGTGCTCCACACCTTGAGCAATGAAAAGAGCTTTGCTGAAAACGGAAAGGCAAGCTTAGTTTGGCTTTTAAAATTCACTTTTCCCATGTGGGAACAAATATTTTGTCAAAGCAGGCATATATGTTTTCGTCGAAAAGATGATATCATAAACCGATTGTGTCTAGTTTGAATTACATGCCCATGATCTCTTGAACAACTTAATTCATTTATTTTTTGGTCAGACATTTACGCCAAATTTACTTGGCTCTTTGTCAGTTTTACTCTTTCTGAGAGTCTGCAAGGTCCCTTGTGTCTTACAGTAGGTCTAGTAGCTGCCCTGTTGCATCTGCAATGCTCTGACTACCTTTTTTCATTTGAAACTATTGATGAGACGCTTTGCACTATGGTAACTATAAAAACAGAATATTTCTGTCTCCCACGTCTTTAGACACTGATCGAATTAATACAACGAGTCTGCAACTGATTCCTCCTGAAATCCATTTGAGACAAACTAGAAACTCATTGTAAGAATTCCTCTTTTACTTAATATATGCTGGAACTCTGAAAATATAACGAGATGGATCATTTTTGTGTATGCAACATACTAGAATGCAGTTATAAGAATGCCATTTTACATATTTGCATATTAATGTTCATGACTTACGTTATTGGCATTAACTTTAATCGGCTGTGTTGACGTCATGACGAATTTAACCCACAGACTATTTTGGAGAAAAGTAGATACGTTTCTCCTTCTTCTTTTCATCTCAGAGAATCGCATTGATTGTAGTAAGTGGCTGATGACATACCAAATTTGCTTTCCACTAAACTTATGAGGTTATTTTATCGTTGTGGTCCAACATTTTCGATCTGGGGGCATGTTGCCTAGACATGGTTGGCCAAACAGGTTTTGTGATTAAAGATACTTATTTCTGCGAGAGTCTTTTACCTTATATCAGCACTATTGGGCTTACCCGTTCACATCACAACAGGTTTATGATGTGACAAAGTTCCTGGAAGACCATCCTGGTGGCGATGAGGTTTTGTTGTCAGCGACAGGTATGCCTTCCAATGTCCTTCATTAAGCTTTAGGGACAAGTATAAGGCGCTTCAGTTCAATCTAATTTCTAACCAAATCACTTGAGCGCTCTGTTAGAAAGACCAACACCATTTAGTAGGGGAAGAAGCACATCTTTTTATGCCTGTGCAATTTAGTAAAACCACGGGGTTTGGGCTGTGATTTTTGTCCTAGAAATTCTTAGCTTTCTTCAAGATCACGCGAGCTCAGAATGGGAATGTTCCTTCTTTTCAGGGAAAGACGCCACTGATGATTTTGAAGATGTTGCCCATAGCAGCAGTGCCAGAGCAATGATGGACGAGTACCTTCTTGGGGACATAGACTCTTCGACTATTCCCACAAAAAGAGCCTACACTCCTCCGAAGCAGCCTTACTACAACCAAGACAAGACGTCAGAGTTCATCATAAAGCTCCTCCAGTTCCTCGTTCCGCTCGCGATCTTGGGTCTGGCTTTCGGCATCCGCTTCTACACCAAATCTACCTAAATTAAAGTCCTGATGGCATTAAAGTGTGTCAGAGTTAGACGTTTAAAAATTAGCTAAAGAACTGTTCTAGTTGCCTTCCCAAATGGTCCTGATTTACTGTGGTGTATTAGTAGTGTTCGCTGTACTTTTCAATGTTGCTTTCTGTCTCATTGAAGTAAGAAAATTACCTTTTCATATGATTTTATTTTCCTGATGTGATGAATGCGCTCGCTTTTTTGGATCGGTAATTTGTAGAGAGATACAGGTAACTGAAAATTTTCCTTTCGTAGTGTCTTGTTCATGCCAATGTAAGCAGTGCATGTTAAATGATATCAAGTCCCCATGATTTACTCAACTTCAAGCCACCAATTTGGGCAGTGCAAAAGAGAATGTAATCAAAGTATAGTTGATGCAGCAAGTATGCGCAGATTAAGTCAGCATGTGTTGCTGTATGACTTTAGGAGCCAGGATTTTTCTTGCTTAGGAGATTTTTGAATAGGAGGAGCACATGGAGATTCGGTCATTCCTAATTGCAAAGCCGATGGTTGGTATGAAACTGGGCCGTCTAACGCACCATGTGGGAGCTCAGGGACCGAGTCCTCGAGCCGGAGGAACCGGATCACTTGCCCCGCCCTCGGCCGTCTTGCGGGATCTGGGTGCATGCACCACAGCCCCACCATCATCAGGCACTTCATCTCCTCCTTGGGGAACTCTGACCCCAATGCCTCATCGGCCGCGCCAAGGACGTCACCAGTGAGGTAGAGTTGCCAGACCCATTTGTGCAGCGGGACGTGGTTCTCTCCGTCCTTGTAGCTCCTCCGACCACAAGCAATCTCTAGGGCCACGACACCAAAGCTGAACATGTCGGACTCCTTTGTGGCCTTCCCTCCAATGAAGTACTCTGGCGCGAGATACCCGCAAGTCCCAACCACGTCTGTCGTCTGAGTCCTGAACCGGGGGTCAACGAGCTTGGCCACTCCAAAGTCGCCAAGCTTGGTGCTGAAGTTGGAGTCGAGCAGCACATTGGCTGCCTTTATGTCCCGGTGGAGCACGCATTGCTCAAGCTCCTCGTGGAGATAGTTGAGGGGACGCAAGGCCGAGCGCCACGCTGTACCGCACATCCCATGGCAGGCTTCTCCGGGCCCCAAACAGGTGGTGATCGAGGCTGCCATTGGGCATATACTCATAGACAAGCAAGAACTCGCCTTCCTCTTGACACCAACCCACGAAAGGCACCAGGTTTCTATGTATCGTACGGCTTATGATCTTAACCTCATTGACAAAGACCTTCTCGGAGTGTTGGGAATCCGCGAAGATCCTTTTGACGGCGACCAGGCGGTCTGAATGGCTCAAGAACCCTTTATAGACTTGGCCGGACCCACCTCGGCCAAGCCTTCGATCATCTGCGAAGCCATTAGTTGCTGCGAGCAACTCCTGATAAGTGAACTTAGCAGGCAATGCGCCGATCTCTTTGTCGATATCGGTGACGGCATGGAAACCATACTTTTTGCCCCTCTTGACAGCAAAAAAGCAAGACCCTGCAGAGATCACCAACAGAAATAATGCCGCGGGAACAGTGACCAGTATGGTTAACTGGCGAGTTTTGTAGTTCACCCCCTTCAGCGGCGATCTATCTGTTGATGGTGGCAGATCTATGACGTCTAAATCTGAAGTGAATTCCCATGAATTGATGCTGTGTCTCTCCACATTGAAGCCGAAAGAAGCTGAAAACCCCATCGCAACTGATTCGGGAAGGACACTCGCAAGATCGATTCGGCTAGAAAGTGAGGAATAGCTCTTATCCTGGAAAGCCGGTTTGTCCTCAGATGACCAGAACACGCTGAGGTTCTTGCTTGTAGAATTGTAGATCACGAGAACATCGGTCGCCTTCCCGCTGTGCAGTCTGGGATCCCAGCCGGCATAAACGAGCGACGAGAGCCCGTTCTTATTGATTCCAATGTGATGCACCGGGGGATCGAACTCTGGGTTCACATAAGTGTCGAACTCGACCATGACAATCCGGTTTCGAGGCCCTTCATTAGCTGTGCTCACATTGAACAATCCCAGGAATCCGCCGCCCGAGTTGGGTGGGATCGGCATCCCGACAGGAGCAAGGAAGAAGGCGATCCCGTCACCATACCAACAAGCCGTCATTGTCAATGGTGAATGAGAAACGGGTTGAAAAGTCCGCTTGCCGCCCCGTGAGAGGATCCCATAAGGGGACGGGCTTGGCATACTGAATCCGGCCCACCTGGAAATGTGCTGGAGTATTGCATTTGGTGAGATCTACGTATCCGTATGCAAGCCTCGCGACACCCTCATACAGTATGTCGCTCAAATCCGTGTCGAAGCTGCCTATGTTGAAGGACAGAGGTGCAACGGAGGGGAAGGGGATCAAAGGACAGCATGCAAGGCAGAACAAGAACAACCGAGCGCGGAACAAAAGAGAACGGGGAGTCGTGCTCGGCATACTAAAGATGGGCTTTGGTCAGAATCAGATCACCCAAGCTGCAAGATCAATATGTCACATGAGGGTGCTTTATAAAGATCGCGAGTATACCAAACAACGGACCAAATACGGCCAGCGTTCATAGATCAGGCAGCTTCCATGATGGTTCGTGGTTAACTGCAAAAGTCAATGGAGCAAATTCGTCGCAAATACGGACAGCCTTGTGGTAGTATTATTGGTATCTTCCAAGCAAGTAATGAAACATTGTCAAACTTGGGGTGGGGGCAGACGGTGTGACTGGAATCTATTGCCACTGTTATTTGTCAACTTGGGGAAAAATTGCAGGTGTTCTAGAGAGCCGGGAACGAAGACTGCGGAGATGGAAACTGACCAATCGATCTCCCCAGTTGACCAGCTTTCGATATTATATAATGCAAGTGAGCAAGCGACCGTGGATCGGAGTTCTGCATTCACCGGGAGAGCTTCCATGGTTCACCTCCTTAACAGACATTATCAGACACTCGATGTGTCTGCCTACGAGTGTGTAGGAAAGGAGTGCAAGCTATGGTTAGATGAACTGCAAATCTGCAGAGACATGAAGAGGGGTTGGGAGTCCATTTGCTTCAAAGCCACTGATCATGATGAACACTATGAACACAAACAGCAAAAATAAGAGCCGCTGAGTCAAACTCATAAGTCTGTCTACATTTTTTTCACTTCGAATTTTAATGGAGGCACTGTAAATAAAGTTGGGTCTGTCAAAGATTTATGGAGCAATCTATGTGCATGAAATCTTTCTTATACAGTCTTGTATTTTGGGAATTCTCTTTCATGTGATCGTAGCACCCAAGAATGGTTAAGTTCAATCAACTTACTCTTATCAATCATCATTCACAAGCTTGCCCAGCCCATCAAGAACATTACAGGCCTATTTGGTTCTTGAGATTCTTACGTTTCATTCAATGAAAACAGTGTGGCTTGTGGCACTTTGAATTCAACATGGATGCAGAATCTTGTCTGATAGGGCAAGATAAAAGACATTATTGCAAAATCTTTATCCTAAGGATGCAAGATTGAGAATTAATGACAAGTAGCAAACACCCAATCACGCAAGTATTGATGGGGCATAATAGATGACGATATATTGGCTGGATGGACTGAATTGGTACCAATGTAAAAATGTTTAGGACTAAATTGGTCCAATTGAAAGATTTATGATTGAATTGGTATCATTACGATATTTTATGACTCTTTTTGTACTTTTCCCCAATATATTAGACCCAGTTGCGGTTGCATTCAATAACTTTCTGCACTGAAGGCCCCATAATCCCTTTTGAGCTTGCTTCTACACTAAATCGAGGTTGCCACTTTCATTTTTAAATTTCAAAGTGAACCTCAGAAGTAGCTGAAGTTATATATATTGCCTCGCTTGTTCAAAGATGGGATATGAATCGAATTTAGCACATTTGTTTATGGAATAATGAACACCTGACGCAAATCTGACGGCCAATAAGTGATAAAAAGAGACGAGCACAAGGTACGACAACAATATCTCCAGGTCCTGTTTGGTTAGTCGGAATGGAACAATTAGAACAAATTGAAAAGGAACGAGAATGAATATTTGGTAATAGGAACGTCAAATAAAATTTGGATTACCATGTCTGGTAACATATTGGGATTGAAACATGAGCTTTTAGAATTGAAATATTACTAAACTTTACTTTAACTAAGAAAGGAAAATGAAAGAAAAAGGAACGAGAGAATTATTACGCCATATTTGTTGATTTAGTTGTTTTTTTACTGGAAATATTCCACTATTGATAGAAGGGTTCATACCACAAAAAATCTAAATTGGTACACCTGTGATAAATTTACTTCAAACAAATTTTTAGGTCACTAAAAACTCAAAATTGATACACCTGTAATAAATTTATCCCGGACTAATTTTTGAATTACAAAAAACCCCAAATTGATGCACCTGTAATAAATTTACCCCAAACTTGGATTTGGCATGTCAGTTGAGTTGTTGCTAGGTGTTATCCAACGGTAAAATTTGATGGAAGCTAGCAGTAAAATTTCAAGCCGCCAATTTGGCCGAGGCAAACGAGATTGTAACCGAAATATAGTAGATGCAGCAGAATGTGCAGATTAAGTCAACATGTGTTGCTGTATGACTTCAGGAGCCACGATTTGTCTAGCTTAATAGACACGGATTCGTGAATAGGAGGAGGAGATTGAGATTCCACCGTCCCTAATTGCGAAGCCGATGGCCGGTACGAAACTGGGCCGTCGAATGTGCTGTGCGGGAGCTTGGGGACCTGGTCCTCGAGCTGTAGGAACCGGATCACTTGCTCCGCCCTCGGCTGTCTGGTGGGGTCTGGCTGCACGCACCACGGCCCCACCATCATCAGGCACTCCATCTCCTCCCTCAGGAACCCCGAGCGCAATGCCTCATCAGCCGCGCCGAGGACATTGCCGGCGAGGTAGAGTTGCCAAACCCGCTTGTGCAGCTGGACCCGGATCTCTCCATCCTTGTAGCTCCTCCGGCCACACGCGATCTCGAGGGCCATGACGCCAAAGCTGAACATGTCAGACTCCTTCGTGGCCTTCCCTCCGATGAAGTACTCCGGCGCTAGGTACCCGCAAGTTCCGACCACGTCTGTCGTCTGAGTCCTGAACTGGGGGTCGACGAGCTTGGCTACTCTGAAGTCGCCGAGCTTGGTTGTCAAGTTGGTGTCGAGCAGCACGTTGGCTGCCTTTGTGTCTCGGTGGAGCACGCATTGCTCGAGCTCCTCGTGGAGGTAGTTGAGGGCGGACGTGAGGCCGAGAGCCATGCTGTACCGCACATCCCACGGCAGGCTTCTCCGGCCCCGAAGAGGTGGTGCTCGAGGCTGCCGTTGGGCATG